AACAATATAAAATTGTTATATAAATATAACAATTTTGGAAAGCAATTTGAAATTATGCAAATAAAGTGACTAAAATGTTCCTACCCTTTAACCCAGAGAGTCCATGATTGGGCTTGTACTCCAAGAAAACCATTGACAAGAAGAAAATGCCTATATATTCCTATAGCAGCACTTTTTGTGATAGCAAAGAATTGGTAACAAGGTAAATGTACATTGATTGAGGAATGACTAAACAAATTGTGGCATGTTAATGAAATTTAATATTATTATGCTGTAAGAAGTAGTGAATGTGATGAATACAGAGAATCAGAGAAAGATCTATATGAACTTATGTTGAATGAAGTAAACTGAGCCAAGAAAACAATATTCCCAAAGATTACAACATTGTAAAAGAAAGAACAAGCAAAAAAAGTGATTGTTGCATGTTTTCAGACTTTTTCAGAGTATTAATTATGCTGATTTTTTCCTCTTTTTTATTTTCTTTAAAAAATACTATATGTTATATGAGATGACTGTTTGGGTAAGATAGAGAGAAAGATATTAGGGAGAACTATGATGATACAAAGAAAGACATTAGTAAGAACTTAAAGAAAAGTAGGTCAGATCTTACTGTCAAGGGGTAGAGCCAAGATGGCGGAGTAAAAGCAGTGATTTGCTTGAACTCTCCCCCAAACCCCTACAAATACCTGTAAAAATTATTCTAAGCAGATTCTAGGGCAGCAGAACCCACAAAAAGACAGAGTGAAACAAGTGTTTAGCCCAAGAGAACCTGAGTGGTTGATAGGAAAGATCTATTGTGCCAGGCTGGGAGAGGAACTCAATTCATTGTGGGCACCACAAGCAAAGACAGGGCCAGAGGAAACCTGGAATAGGCCTGAGGGGACTCAATAACAGGTAGCTGTGGCAGTGTTCACACTTCTCAACCCACAAATACAAAAGACAACTTATAAGGTCGGTGGGAAAGGTCTGTCGGATCTCAGTGAGAAAAGAGCATGGTCCCACCCAGGCCGTATCGCAGCCCCAGGGTGGCGGTGGTTGCTTCCAGAGTTCTTGGCCCACAGAAGATGGTAGAATTGAGTGGCCAATCAGAGGGGGGCTTCAGGGATCTCTTTGCTGGCACTGAGGCAGGATTGTCTTGCTTTGTCCATGCTTGGATCTGGGTCACAGTTCTGGGTGGTGATCCTGGGGCAAAGAGTGCTGGTGTGGTGGAGCTTGTGGTGGTGGTAGAGAGGGAATCTTCCTCACAGTTCCAAGGCAGAAGAGTGCTTGTGGTCACTCATGAACCAGAGAATAGGCCAGGAAAGGAATAAACACCTCTCCCTTGATTGTACCACTTTGGAAGAACAGGAAATGTACAGGTCCCTAGAAGTATCTCTGAAAACAGCTGCACAAAACTCCCAAAGCTTGGGACAGTACATTCTCTACATTGGAAGCAGACTCCTACTTAAAACTCAAGTGATTGGCTGGGAACATGAGCAAACTGTGCCAAAAAAGTTAGACCATAGATTTTTCTTTGGTGACAAAGAAGATCAAAATATACAACCAGAAGAAGACAACAAACTCCTACATCCAAAGCTTCCAAGAAAAATATGCATCAGTCCCAGGCCATGGAAGAGCTCAAAAAGGATTTTGAAAATCTAATAAGAGAAGTAGAGGAAAAATTGGGAAGAGAAATGAGAGCGATGCAAGAAAATCATGAAAAACAAGTCACCAGCTTGCTAAAGGAGACCCAAAAAAATACTGAAGAAAATAACACCTTAAAAATAGACTAACCCAAATGGTAAAAGAGGTCCAAAAAACCAGTGAGGAGAAGAATACCTTAAAAAGCAGAATTGGCCAAATGGAAAAGGACGTCCAAAAGGTTACTGAAAAAAATAATTCCTTAAAAATTGGAATGGAGGAAATGGAAGCTAGTGAATCTATGAGAAATCAAGAAATTATAAAACAAAACCAAAAGAATGAAAAAATAGAAGACAATGTGAAATATCTCTTTAGAAAAACAACTTACCTGGAAAATAGATCCAGGAGAGAGAATTTAAAAATTGTTGGACTATCTGAAAGCCATGATCAAAAAAAGGGCCTAGACATCATTTTTCAAGAAATTATCAAGGAAAACTGCCCTGATATTTTAGAACCCAGAGGGCAAAATAGAAATTTAAAGAATTCACTGATCCCCTCCTGAAAGAGATCCCAAAGGAACACTAGGAATATTGTAGTCAAATTCCAGAATTCCCAGGTCAAGGAGAACATACTGCAAGCAGCCAGAAAGAAATTGAAGTATTGTGGAAACACAATCAGGGGAACACAATATTTAGCAGCTTCTACATTAAGGAATCAGAGTGCTTGGAATATGATATTCTGGAGGTCAGAGGAGCTAGGATTAAAACCAAGAATCACATATCCAGCAAAACTGAGTATAATCCTTCAGGGGAAAAAATGAAAATTCAGTGAAATAGAGGACTTTCAAGCATTCTTTATGAAAAGACTAGAGCTGTATAGAAAATTTGACTTTCAAGATACAAGATTCAAAAGAAGCATGAAAAGGTCAACAGGAAAGAGCAATCATAAGGGACTTATTAAAGTTGAACTTTTACATTCCTACATGGGAAGATAATATTTGTAACTCATGAGACCTTTTCAGTACTAGGGTAGTTGGAGAAAATATATATATATTATAAAGAGTGAGAGAGGATTATAATGGGAGAAAGAGAAAGAGAGGTAGAATGGGGTAAATTATGTCACATAAAAGAGGCAAGAGAAAGCTTTTACAGTGGAGGAGAAAAGGGAGAAGGTGAGAGGAAATGAATGAACCTTACTCTCATTAGATTTGACTTAAGGAAGGAATAACATACACACTCAATTGGGTATGGAAATCTATCTTACCCTACAAGAAAATAGGGGGAAGAGGATAAGAGGGGTGGGAATAACATTAGGGAGGGCAGATTGGGGGAAGGGTTAATCAGAAGCAAACACTTTTGAGGAGGGACAGGGTCAAAGGAGAGAACAGAATAAATGGAGTGCAGGATAGGATGGAGGGAAACATAGTCTTTCACAACATGATTATGGAAGTGTTTTGCATGACTACACATGTATAACCTATATCAAATTGTTTGCCTTCTCAATGAAGGTGGGTGGGGAGGGAGGAAGGGAGAGAATTTGAAACTCAGAAGTTTTTAAAATGAATGTTAAAAATTGTTTTTACATGCAAATAGGAAATAAGATATACAGGCAAAGGGGTATAGAAATCTCTCCTGCCCTACAGGAAAATAGAAGAGGAAGGGGATGACTGAAGAGAGGCTGTGTGATTGAAGGGAGGGCAGATTGGGGGAAGAGTTATTTAGAATTCACCGCCTTGGAGTGCGGGGAGGGGAAAGGTGGGGAGAAAATTTGGAACTCAAAATCTTGTGGAAGTGAATGTTGGAAACTAAAAGTAAATGAATTAATTTAAAAAATAAATATAAAAAAGAAAAAAGAAAAGAAAAGTAGGTCAGTGGAGCAGGTTAGACAAGGAAGAAAAATCAGAAATAATGGAGCTCAATAATCATGTGTTTGATAAAGTCAAAAACATAAATTACTTGCTAAAGAACTTCTTACTTGATTAAAAAAAAAACTGTTGGGAAAACTTGAAAGCAGTCTCTCAGAAACTGGACTGAGACCAATACCTTATGGTATATTCCACAGTACATTCCAAATGAATACAACCTGAATATTAAAGATCATGCTATTAAAAATTTCAATAGAAGCAGAGCATACACCTTCCCCAGCTATAGATAGATGTATTCTTAATGAAAAGAAGGTATAGAGGCAATTACAAAAGATAAAATAGAAAATTTTGGTCACATGAAATCAAAAACCTTTGGTGGAAACCAAATTAATTGATTCAGGATAAGAAGAGAAGTAGGAAAAAAAAATCTTTGTATCAAATTTTTTAGATATCCAAAAGTTTGATATCCAAAGTGTATAGACAAATAGCAAATATGTGAGACCAAAAGCCATTCTAAAAGTTGGAAACACATGGATGTCTGTCATTTAAGAAATGGCATAAAATTATGGTACATGAATGTAAGATAATATTGCTATGCTCTAATAATACTAATATTAATAATAATAATAATAATAATTTGCTATGCTCTAAGAAATAATAAATGAGATGAATGCAGAAAAGCATAGGAAAAATTAAAGTTATGCAAAACAAAGTAAGGAGAGCCAAGAAAACCATATACACATTGACCACAACAGTGTAAATTTAAAAAACCCAAAACAATAGAAATATACATTCCAGAACTGCAAAGAACAAGCTTGGCCCCAAAGAAGAAATATGACAAGACAACTCTCCTAGCTCCTTTAGAGAATTGGCAAGGGCTATAGGTGTATGGGGTTGGGTCTTTGGTGGGTATTGATGAGTACATATATTGTCAGATTTTAAAATATGTTGATCTTTATTCTATTCCTCTCTTAAAAATAAAAAAACAAAAAAAATCCACAAAACTTTGTTATATAGGATGAATTTCTGGGAAGGAGAGAGATATAGGGAGAAATTTCAGTGATGTTAAAATATTAATTACATATGTGTGTATATACATACACATGTATATATGCATATGTATATGTATATATATGTGTTTAAATGCAGACATATTAAGTGGGTAGTTGAATAATATCCTTTTGGATGATCTCTATCTCAGTAAAATAGGAAAGAAGACAGTACTGGGATGGAGTGGGAGCAAAATTAAGGAAAGAGGAGGTTTGAAATAGTTGCTATATGGAATAGGAATGGGATTTGATAAATAATAAAAAAACAATGTTGAGGGTCCCAAGTTTGTGTAGCATAAATGTATAAAACATAATGATTGGATCTTTAGCACTATACTGGAATGTCTAAAATTACAAACTGTACTATTTTGTTTTTTTCCCTGCAAACAAATAAACAATTATCAAAATTCTCTTTTAAATGTAATATAGAACTAACTTTTTTTTCAATCTATATTGTTGATTTTTAGGCTAAAGAACTTATAGAGAAATTTTTTGCCCAACAAGTGGTAGTTCTGGGAAAACATTTTCAGATACTTCCTGAGATATACTATATTGAAGGTACTCTGCAAACAGTGTGGATTAATCATTGCAGTCCAGGATATGGGATGAATGCTTTGTTACATCCAAATTGCCCTGAATGTTGTGGTATGTAATTAGTTGTCAAGTCACATTACTAAATTAGTCTGTTCTTAGTTTTTTAAGATAATAATTACACTTGCATTTTTGTTTAAAATTGCTATTTAGTCACGTATTTAACAGAAGTGCAGTTTTATGTTTTGAGAGAAAAGAGAAAACTTGAGAAAGACAAGAATGGAATTGATACAAAAATTGGTATTGGTGTTACAGTAGGTGATGGTGGGAAAATGGAAGTGGCAGATTGTAGGCTCAAGAATCTGATAACAGAATTGTAGCTATTTATACTCAGAATCACAGAATTTGAGAATTGGAAGGAAGCTCGATAGCAATCTTTTTCAAAACTCATGCACAAAAAAGGTTTTCCAACTATACAACATCAGCTTCTGCTTAAAGATCTCCAGAGAGGTCTTCAATGCACCACTTTTCCTGGCAACCAGTTTCCACTTTTAGACAGCTCCAATTGTTAGTAAAATTTTCCTGACATTTCCTAAATTGCAGCATCTATCCATTACTCTTTGCAACTTTTTTCTATTGTTGGTGGGTTTGCACTCTGGACATAAGTGGTCTCTCCTCCACATAACAACCTTTAATTCATGTATTTGAAGACTGCTATCATGTCCCCTATAAGGCTTCTTTTCTCCAAATCAACCATGACTAGTTCCTTCAACCAGTCTCCACATGACATGGAGTTAAGGCCTTTTACCACCTCCTTTGGACATGTTTCAAATTTTTAATCTCTTTCATAAGCTTTGGCACCTATAATTTAACACAATACTCCAGATGAAGTCTTTCAAGGGCAGAGTATGGTGGCAGTATTATTTTGAGATTCTTAGAAGTTATTCTTCTCTTAATGCAACCCAAGATCATATTAGGTTGGGATTTTTTTGGCTGCCATATTTTACTGCTGACTCCTACTGGGCTTGCAGTGCACTAAAACCCCTAGATCATCTTCACAATTGTTGTCTAACTATACCTCTCCCATCTTATACTTGCAAAATTGATTTTTTTGTACTCAAATGCAAGACTTTATATTTATCCGTAATTAAATTTATCTTATTCAACTCAATGCTGTAGATCTTTTTGGATGTTGAATCTATTATCAACTTTTGTCTGTGTAAATTGGATGAAATCATTCTCCATACTTTTATTCATTAATAAAATGTTAAACCGTACAAAGCATAGATATTTACAATGCTATACTAGAGTCTTCCCACCACATTGAATAATTAACAACTCCTCTTTGAGTCCGTCCTTCTAAAGCTAGTTTTGAATCAGGTATTGTTACTGTCTAAACCATATCTCTTCATGAGATGCCCATCTTTTTTTACATTTTTAATTATTTTATTTTATATTTTTAATTAATAAGCATTTGTTTTCTCTCCATCTCATGTTCCCCTCACATTAGAAAAAGAAAAGGAAAACCCTTACAACAACTATCCACAGCCAAATTTAACAAATTCTCACATTGACCATGTGTAAAAGTTTATATTATGAAAGAGTTTATCTAAACCTTTGCTAAATGTAAGTAAACTATAACTACAACTTTCTCCATGGGTTCTGGTCCAGTAAGCCTGTCCACAAATGGAAACAAGGTTACTTTAGCCTGTTCTGTTCTTAATGAAGATATTTTCTTTGTAATCACCTCTTCACTTTCTAGATGTTGAGCAACTATCCATTTAATACTCTATTCTAGAACTTCTCCAGGAATAGCGGTCAAATTCACTGAATGACAGCTTGCACACTGTTTTATTCTCCTTCTAGACAATCAAGATATTTTGTTTTTTCTCCAATCTTGTGGTAACTCTCCTCTTTTCTGTGATATTTCAAATATCACAGTGGCATAATAATCATACCTGCCAGTTCTTTTAGTTCTGAAGACATAGGTCATCTGGGGCAGGTGACTTGAAGTCACAAAGGGCAGTCAGGTGCTCTCTGACCATCTATTATCTTGAGTATCAACTCTGTCATTTTTGTTCTGTCATTTCCAATGTAAAGGTCATTTTCTTTTGCAGAAAAAAAAATCCAAACTCAACAGGATTGGAGCAGTTCTTGCTATAACTTCTATCTTCATCAGTTGTCATTTTCCTGTGCACCCCTAAACTAAGATCTTGGACCCAATTTTTGATCTTCCTCTTTCTCTCAACACATCTAAACAAAACCTTTCTTGATGTCCTTAGCTTCCTTCCCCAATCCTATTCATTCAAAGCTTTGGCATTCCTGGCACACTTTTTTATAGAACCAGGCCATGCTCTTACAGTTATCTTCTTTTACCTTTCTTTGCTTCCCTCTTTGTACATTTCTTTTAAAAATCCAAGTTAGTTGGTAAGCTCCCTGTGTATCCATATTGTTCTCTTCAGACAAAAGGTATTTTTACTCCTGATTAAAATTGTTTCCTTTTTTGTTTTCATAATTTTGTCCCTGAGCATCTTCAATCCCTCCTGAGCTAACTTCCTCTGAAGCATTTTAGAGCATGGGATCCTATCTTTCCTCTAAACTCTTTCACATATCATTGGTACATACCTTCCCTTTCCTTCCCTTCCTTTTTGTAAAAACAAACAAATAAACAAACAGTAGAACAAGAAAAAGTGAAACAAGGAAAGACACTCTTCCTAGCCTACACAAAATCAAAACTCATTGATATTGATTTAATTAGCTGCTTTATTTACTTTTCTCTTTAATTTTAAAAAGTGAATGCTATCTCATTTTAATGTTTTCTTGGTATTTGTTTTCATGAATCATCACCGTTCTTTTATCTGACTTTTTAAAAATCTTTTTTTATTATAGATTTAAATACTAAAACTTAAGTAGAAAATAAGAAAAGAAAAAGAAACATGTCATGTGCACAGCAGAATGTAAGACCGGACTCAAAATATATAGCAATAAATTTCCATTTCAAGAAAGCCTATGTAATAAATACTATGAGTTGTGTCGGGAGCTGTCCATCTTTTCTTTGCTTCCTTGTGAGTTTTCTTTTGTTCTGTGCTGTTCACTTTTTACTTTGTTCTTTTTTCCCCTCTTCCTCTCCCCTCGCCCCAGAAGGCTAAAATTAAGCTTGGATATATTTATTTATAGATATAGATACATACACACATTGCATATATACATATATAAACATATGTTTTACCTAACAAATTCTACTCCTAATCTTTGTTTTTATGTTTGTATGTCTCTTTTATTTCTTATCCCTCCTGACTTTTCTACTTTACTTCTACCTGCTATCTTGCCCTCTTATGACTTAATCTATTCTGCCTCTGAAGATTCCTTCCTATCCTCCCATTCTCATAAATCTGAACACCCTCTTATACCCCCCCTTTAACCTATTCCTTCATCCTACCTTCTAAAGATCCCTCCCTTAAAACTGGAAAAGAGTATGGCAGAAACTAGACATAGACCAAAATCGTATAACCATATACCAAAATAAAGTCAAAATGGGTACGATTTAGATATAAAGGCTGGTACTATAAGCAAACTGGGAGAGCACGGAATAGTTTACCTGTCAGATTTATGGAGAACGGAAAAATTTATGACCAGATAAGAGATAGAGAATGTTATTAAATACAAAATGGATAATTTTGATTACATTAAATTGAAAAATTTTTGCACAAACAAAGCCAGTACAACCAAGATTGGGAGGGAAGCAGAAAACTGGGAAAGAATTTTTACAACCAGTGTCTCTGATAAAGGCCTCATTTCTAAAATACATGGACAAATAAGCCAAATTTATAAAAATACAAGTTGTTCCTCAATTGATAAATGACCAAAGGATATGAATAGGCAATTTTCAGAGGAAGAAATTAAAAGTATCTACAGTCATATGAAAAAATACACTAAATCACTATTGATGAGAGAAATGCAAATCAAAACAACTCTGAGGTACCACATCACACCTATCAGATTGGCTAACATGATAAAGCAGGAAAATGATAAATGTTGGAGAAGTGTGGGAAAATTGGAACACTAATGCATTGTTGGTGGAGTTGTGAACTAATCCAACCATTTTGGAGAGCAATTTGGAACTATAACCAAAGGACTATAAACCTCTGCATACCCTTTGACTCAGCAATATCACTTCTAGGGCTGTATCCCAAAGAGATCATACAAATGGGAAAAGGACCCACATGTACAAGAATATTTATAGCAGTTCTTTCTGTGTTGGCAAAGAATTGGAAATAGAGGGGATGCCCATTAATTGAGGAACAGCTGAACAAGTTGTGGTATATGAATGTATTGTATGTATGTATATAATGAATGAATGTAATGAATACTGTTGTGCTATAAGAAATGATGAGCTGGCAGACTTCAGAAAAACCTGTAAAGACTTGTGTGGACTGATGCTGAGTGAAAGGAGCAAAACCAGGAGAATGTTGTATACAGTAACAGCCGCATTGTTTGATGATTAACTTTGATAAGCTTAGCTTTTCTCAGCAATGCAAGGATCTAAGACATCCCCAAATGTCTCATGATAGAAAATACTATCCACATCCAGAGAAAGAACTGTGGAGTTTGATTGTAGATCAAAGCATATTATTTGCTCTTTTTTTCTGTTTTGTTTTGTTTCTTCTTTCTTGTGTTTCCTTCTGTTGGTTCTAATTCTTTACAACATGACTAATGTGAAAATATATTTAGTAGGAATGTATATGTAGAACCTATATCAGATTGCACGCCAACTTGGGAAGGGAGACGAAGAGGGAGGGGGAGAAAATTTAAAACTCTAAAGCTTATGGAGGGGGCAGCTAGGTGGCACAGTGGATAAAGCTCCGGCCTTGGAGTCAGGAGGATCAATCCTGCCTCAGACACATGTGATCCTAGGCAAGTCATTTAGCCCCATTCCCTAACAAAAACCAAAAAAAAAAAGCTTATGGAAGTGATTGTTGAAAACTAAAAATAAATTAATTAATTTACAAAAAAAAAGATCCCTCTCCCTCTCCATTCTCCCAAGCATCCCTCCCTTATCCTCCCATTCCCATTAATCTAAAAACCTTCTATACCCCACTGTAACCTATTGCCTC